TTTAGTTGGCACCTTTTGATGCCACATCTTCTGTCCATACATATGAATTAACATTATTTTTGGCGATGCTAGCGTGAGAATTACCTTCTACAATCGTAAAGTTATATATATATATAATTGTCGAGAATAATACGCTCATTGAGCTAATTGTAGAGGCAAATTTTCTGACAATCAAATGACAGAATTAGCAAATGCTGGTTATCTTCTCTAAATTTGTCGAAAAAGCATTTTGCCCTTATTTTGTGTACCCTATATTGGGTACGCAATTTTTGTTTTTCAAATTCACTTTTCTCTGTTTTGAACTTTTCTAATAATTGCAAGCATTCCGAACAGACGTCTTGGCGTAGAGACCCAAACCCAATAATAAAGGAGCTATTGAATACCTTTCTAAAAAAGCTTTTGGTCACTGGTCCTGGCATAGATTGACGAATTTGTATAATTTCGAAATGTTCAAAAAAGCTCGGATCAAGATAAACTCTTCGTTTGATTTTGCCCCTACAATAATGGCTTTCCAACAGTTGAAATTTCATTATAAATTTCTGATGAATTCTATCAATGGATGATGGATGGAGGAATGCATGATGTTTTCTATCTTTACGTTTTTCTGATGGGATTTCTCCTGTGGCTGCACATAGATTCTACACGCCTTTTATTTAAATCCGGACCCTGTTTAATTTTTAAAATTCCACAAAATGTAGCTAGACAGACCGAGACATTTTTTTGAGTCTTGTACTTACAGATAAAATATTGTTTTTAATAAGCACAATAACCCTTTCGTGCATTATTTCTCGGGCGTTTTCTTTTAACAGGTCCTAAGAGTAAATTTTGCAAAATATAATTATCCTAATTTTGTTAGCTGCTAACAGACTCTCTGGACTCGCACCAAGGTATGGTTTATCCATACATATGAATAAACCACATGGTGTTGCTTTTTGTTTTATTTTCTAAATCTGCAATTGCGGTTTTCTCGTGTGCCTTTCCATATCGAGTAGCATCGTTTCCCGTAAATGTAGAATATAACATATTTTTTAATGTCGCAGTACAAGGCGTAGAATCCTTCATTTTTACATATTCGGCCGAACAAAGATGCGGTTATTCGTTTTTTGATCCACAAATCAGTTGGATTGTGCGATGGTTTTCTTTTCTAATTCTACAATTTCATCATTATTTAATGTTATTGAAAGAAGAAAGTCATTTTTCTTTTTTCAAAAATATCGGGTGGCATATCGGACTCTTGCACTGTTACATCACCGTAGTGTATACCGGCCGTTTTAAAACGCTTAGCTCTTTTAGTACCGCGTGTTTTATATAATGCCCTCCTTTTTCGTTGCCGCTAAGTTATTTGACATTTTGTTTATGTACTTTTCTGTAGGGTAGGTGTCAGAGCATATTACCTATTGTACTTCACTTAAAAAACTATAATATTTTGTGTTATAGTACCCTACTGCAGAAAAACATCTTGCTTCGTACATCCCCCTTCGCGTGAAATTAACTCATTTGCCTGCAAGGAACTTTGCAATAATACAATTAAATTGTTCTGCTGCATTATTTGTCTCTTGAAGTAGCAGGCTTTCTGCATTTTGCAGAAGCCACCCAACATGTTCAAACATATTGTTCCAAATCCCACTAGATTTGAGTTGCGGAACGAGGTTTTCTTCGGTTACTAATCGTTTACAAGAATCATGAAATCCGAACACGTGGCATGGCCCATTCCGTAAGTCTTCTTAAAGGATTCTAATCTTGTCTGCTGTTGCGAGCTCAAGCTGTTGCGCATGTGCTACTGTCCCAGTAACTGCGTTATTTAGGCGTCGTATTTTGTCTAAAAGCGCTTTACGTAAAGTCACAGGTACAAAGTCAACTTTGTTCTGAGTTTTTTCCCTTAGTTTTCTAAGTTTATTTTAATAATTTCGCAGTAAATGATTATTGCATTCTATTTTTCTGATGAGAACATTAGGACCATACACCATTGCGTCTATAAGAGTATTCATTACGCTGCTATCTCCCATCACCAATTAACTTTGTATACATGAGTCCGTGCATTTCCATGCTTACTTTGAATCCATCTATAATAGCCGATGTCTCCATTTCGGTAGATGGACCAGACCAGTTTTTGAAACATGTGCCGGAATTGAGGATTTTTTATTTTGAGCTCTAGCACATACGCTACAACAGGAATTTTTGACCTCTATGTGCAGAATTTTTTTGTCCGGTGCCCTATTATGCAACCTACACCAGAAAGTGAATTAAGATTTGTACCGTAGCTACGTTTAGCCCATGAGCCGTCTGTCACGGCGGTCACACATGGTACACCTTGTGTAACATCATTGTTTACCAAAGCAAGTCGCCTTTCTTCTGCACCTGCTTCTAACATAAATTGTAATGCTATGTCTTTTTGGATAATGCCTAACTTTTGATTATTTTTTACATAATAAGTTTCGCTCATATTAGGCATATTTATACTAGCACATAGCTCATCAAGCTGGTTCCACCCATTGCCAGTTTGTGAAATACCCTCGAGTATATTTAAATTTATTTATTAGACTGAGATTCAATCTTTTCTATTTTGTTTCAAAATTTGCCCTTAAAAACAAATTGTGAGTAAAACACAATTCTGTTTTTCTTTATAAATTCTAATTGCTGAAAATTACATTCAAACGGATCATGCCTAATATTTTTCAATTGTTGAAATAGTAATATTATAAAACTGAAGAGGTTGTTTGTTTGAACGCACCTACCAGGTTAATCTTTTTTGCTTTTGTTAGTAGCCTATTTAAAAGTTATGTTATATTATAAGCTATAAAACATAACACTGGGCTCATGGGGGCGGAGCAGTAAATAGGTTCCTACGGGAACGCGAGTCAGGAAATCTTAGAACAAGCAGACCTATATAGGTATCTAATACGATATAGAACTAGGTACATACCTATCAATAGGGTACCCCGACTGCCAGAAGCACAGTACTTATAGATATTTTTACCGTGTCAGAAATGCCAGAGTAGAAAATCCAACAATTTAATCTAATCTGGTGGAAGCCGCCGTCGACAACGTGCCTCTGCTGTCGTTGACGCGTGTCGCTCGTGTGTAAGAACACTAAATAGATTAGGTGTAACTAATTATATGACTTACCCATTGTTTATTTGTAGTTGTTCACACCTGTTCTTCAATGAATCAACACAATGTCACTGGCACAGCGTCCACTCCACAGAACAATCCACTCAAGCCGACAATTCCAATTTGCAACAAAATTACGGAGTCCAAATTTCAGTGCAAAGTCAAACAGAGTAGTATCGAAATCCAAAGTTCAAGCAGGGGTCAATGTTGTGTAGAATTTAGAGCGCGGGTATAGATAATCATACGAACGACATAGGTCACAGCAGTTTGAGTCGAATAAAACTCGAATAAGCGCGCGTCACCGCGCGTACATGTGTGCGTGAGCCTCGTCCTCCCGCATCGCACCGGGGGAAACATTATTCATTAAGATGCACGATAATTCATAGTAAAATGCGCGCGTAAAAAATACGAAAATGCCTTTGGAAAATCAAGTTTTATGAAAAAAACCACTGCATAAATCAATAAGAAATAAAATTTATTGAATTTTTCGATAATTGAGCGTTGTTGGTACCAGCTTGGTTTTGGAAATAACTTTGGATGTACAGTGTCAAACAGCGGAGTAATCCCCCCCCCCCCCCCCCCCCCGATTTCTGTGAAAATAATGTCGACTAGTGTCACCTTAAGTGTTTTCTCACTGGTATTTTGGGAAGCGTTTTAATCCCTGGCTAGTATTTTAATGCCTGTGACCCGTTATTTTTCAATCACATAATAGTGATGCAATTGTAGATTCTTGTTTACTTATACGGAAAATAAAATGTCAGGAAGGGAAGTAAGGAATAAGTATTTAGGATTCATCTGTAAGTAATGTTCTGTTGCAAATATTAAAAATGATCGAATTTGTATATTATAATAAGCTAACACGCTAATTTTGTTTGTTTAAAATCCAAAGTTGCAAAGCAATCCTGTTTATTAATATTATAAATTTTATAAAATGTTACCCTTTGTTATGTTGCATAACTATTATTACAAATGTAAATTAGTGCAATTGTTATTGATAAATAAAACAACAGATGAAAATTATAAATAGTTTTAATTGGTGATCCCTCATGAAACTGAAAAATCTTACATACCTTAAAACACGTGTAATTACTACTGAAAATAAGGCGTCACAAACATTTAACAAAGAATAAATAGAGTAAAATGCAATTCAAATATTTATTGCAAATTTTATGTAAATTTGGACACTTTATTGTAATATTTGTCTTTTTAAGTGAAATAATTAGTTAATTATTTTTAGATCTTAGTAACCCGTTAAACATTATCACTGTTTTCACACGTCAACGACGCGGCGGCGGCGGTAGGTACTACAGTTTATCTTTTAACATGTAAACTTATGTGTGGCTAATGTCTACATATCGCATAAAAGTTTTACATGAAGAAATTTGTATAAATGTTTGTTAAAAATTTTAGTTTTAAATACCATTACATTCACAACGGTTGCAAGTGGATTGCATCACTATATAAAAACTTAGAATTAGAAATCTAATAACAAATAGGTTTAAGAGAAACTGTTTCAAAAGAGGATCATCAATCGTCTAATATCACACGTTATGTTTCTATTGTGTGGTTATAATTAAGTTTATTTTATTATAATATTATGTATAAAGCGGAGACGAACTCGGATCAGGGGAGGGACTCTTTATTCTATGTTGAAATAGCCCACAATTGGACAAACGCATGGAATACTCCAAAACTATATACATTTTTTATTTATTTTTTATAACTTGCTGAATTAACTAGCCCAAAATATTGTAGATGGTGATTAAAATTAGTTTCACTTTCAGACACTCCATTAATGAAAAAACTTTATTGGGTGAATGAGAGAGTTAATGACAGAGTGTAGAAAATCAGAGCACTCTCGAAGTGATATCAGGGCAGCGGTTCCGTCATTACGCTACGTAGTTATATTGGTTCGGGTTATCTTTGTCACGCTCCATGTAGTCTCTGTCGATTAGCGACTCTATACGCTTCTTGAGATCGGCAGGCTGTTGACAAAAAGTACTTATTAATATTATTACGAGTATAATAGGTGTATTTTATAGGAGTGAGGGTCCAAACGAGCACACTCAGTCCCGTCTGATGGTAAGTGGATATTGGAGTCCAAGCCCATTGACAACATATGTCATTGTACAAAAATGAAAATATTATATGCAGTAACCGCTGAGACCTAAAATGGAATGCATCGATACTAGTCTAAATGGTTTAGAGATCCTTTTATAGCGCCATACGGAATTCAATATTTTTATCTACCATGCGGCGGCGGCGACATAAGACAGACCTTCAAACCATTTCGTCGCATGGGTTTCGTAAGAACTATGGGACCAAGGACATAAGACTATGTGAAATGACAGAAAAATTTATAGCTATCGATAAATATAACCATTTTGTTTGCGCCGGAAGAGAAATACAGCGTCAAACTTGCAAGACGTTATTCGGTGGCACACTTGAATATAATACATAAATTTATGTTTTGTAACTGTTTGTATAAATTACTTATAGTTACAGAAAAAATATAACAAATTATTAATTAAAAAAATTATCGTCATGCTTGCGAGGCAGATATAAAGAGACTTTTGAAAAGTCCACTGCAGAATGTAGGCCTGCCCATAGATCACCTGATATTTGTAGTGTTGGCAACCGCAGTCTTAATTTTTTAGTTATTATTAGAGAAACGCTGCTGCCCATCTCCCACTTTGTTTCGCTTTGTCGCCTCTTACGACACCCACGGAACGATATGAGATAGTAGATAATTTTCGGCGCCCTACACGGTTTAATCGCACTTATGAATAAATAATTTTTAGAATAAATTTTTTGGGCGTATGAACAACTTTCACTTGCATATTGTAATATTGCTCAATTTTTTTAACTTCATCTCTCTTATCTTCAGAAGCATTTCAAGAGATGGCAATATTCCGTTTATTAATCGATTCGTTGCGACATCAATTTTCGAAAACTTCTAGCTATGGCGGGGAACAAATATTCCGCGACACGCCTGTCGTGTCGCCCTAGAAGTTAATGACACGCCTATTGTGCCATCAGCTATGTGTAAAAAAAAATGTAGCTTTTCTGCATTTTTTAAACTTATTTAGACCTGATTAAGTTTAGTTGACATCGCATCAGTTGCAAACGGTAGGATACTTGTTTTAAGTGGCTAACTACATGTTTTTCTACGTTCTCCTTGAAATCGACTTTTTATGCAGATGTTACAAACCTTTTATTTGTACTATTTTTTGTTTTAATTTTTTATTTATTTAAATATGTAGGTACAGCTAAATAACCCTGAAAACCCTTGGTTTTTATTAAATTAAATTTTAACTGGATAATAAAGTTTGTAAATATCAAAGAACGAAGAACCTTAATTTGGAAAAAATAAGTTTTATGGTTTATTGATATTTACAAATGTTATTATTTGGCGAAAGTGTGACTATTCTACGATACCGAAGTTACCGCGGAGACTTTTTAATATAGTTTAGCTGTGCTGCATGTTCTATGGTAAATGTACCAGTGTTAAATTAATAATATTATTGTATGTAACATAGCAATGATATTTCATTTTTTTTAGAATTAAGTTGAAACACCCAAGTATATTCCTGAGACAGAGATTAATGACGACAAAAGTTAATGTCAGAACGTCTAATCAGTAAGGATAGCAAAACAAAAGTTTTCAAAAAGAAAAAACGCCGGCGCTGTGCCGGCCGTCCGGCGGACGAACAATAGACTCCATTTTTCGCGAACTTTTTTATGCATGTAAGCGTTCGAACTTTATCAAGCAAAAATAAACCTTACACCATACCACAAGAGCACATGGTACTTCGTAGGCCCATTCGGCCACATGATAACTGATAATAATAAGACGGCATTTTAACCATTTAAGCAAAATTAAACCATAAGACAAACGCATTATGTTTTTTTTTTTTTAACAGGAGACGTTTCAGAAACTTGTTTACAACTGGAGTTCGTGGGCGACCGCGATGAGTGCTATTAGTTGTTACTTATTAGAGAGTATTTTTCCACAACATGATTTAAAAAACCCACACAGTAAAAAATAGTGCCGCCATCCACAAGTTAAAAAAGGTTGTCAACCCCTAAAAATTTCAAATGAATGAATTCATGACTTGCAACTTGCAAAATAATGAATATTTTGTTCTGGATAAATATTACGAAAACGCAATTCGAACGAGTTAGAACGATGTTTAAATTGACACGACTCGCATGCCACACAAAAAAAGAAATTGATGGCACGTCTGGCGTGCTATCCGCAATGAATCGGTTAAATAATTTCGTGATAATATTTGCATAACTATAAACTAGTCAAAAAAATTATACCTTGACGGGGAATTTGAGCTGGTTGTACAGTTCGGAGATGAGCAGGTTGTGTGAGAGCGCCTTGCGCATCTTCATGACGCGCACGATGGCCGCGTCGATCTGGTACTGGCGGTCCTGGAACACGCGCTCTTCCGTCGCCTTCTGCTCCTCGCTCTGCAAACAATGTTTATTTATTACTAGCTGATGGCCGAAACTTCGTCCGCGTGAAATTTATTACGATTGGATTTCATGGGTTTTAATTTTTTTGCGCAGAACTCTAATTATTTTTCTAAAATAAAAGTAGCCTAAGTTACTCCTTATAAAATTAACCATCTGCCAGTGAAAGTCCCGTCAAAATCGTTCCAGCCATTTTAGAGATTAGTCAGAACAAACAGACAGACAGATAAAATTTTAAAATCTTTTTTGTTTTATGTACCATACATATTTTTATATGCATTTTCTAAAAATCTGTTATTTTGACATTACAAACAGAAACTTCAATTTTATTTATTTGTATGACCAGCAACCTGCCCTGGCCCCGCCTGGGAGGTATTTGAGGCGGCGCTTCGTCGCATCACAAGCGAAGCGCATCGAAGCCTAAATCGTGCTACTCAAGTTGAAAAATACGGAGTATTGGCCGCTCCCCGGGCTGAACACCTTGGCCTGCTTGAGATCTTTCCTTTTCCTTTCACGGTCACAGCTCTATTAACGTGACGTTATAGATTTTGTCAATTTTTCGATTAAAAAAACCTGTATAAACTTCAAACGAAGAAGGCCCATTATTAAACTTTCTGTCTATATGTATCCTTTAGACCTTTTAGATTGTGATTGTTCTATACAAAATAAAAACGGCATGTAAAAAAAATTTATAAAACAAAGATCATGTATAACGTTAATGTCACATCTATGCCGGTAGTTGTTGGGAGCACTAAGCTCGAAGTTGTTGACGAGTATGTTTACCTTGGGACAAATAGTCCGACTAGGTAAGTCCACCTTCGACCGAAAGGTCATCGACGGATTCAACTCGGCTGGGCAGTGTTCGGGAAATTACGACACATCTTCTCGTCAGGTATACCTCAAAACATGAAAACGAGACTGTACAACCAGTGCGTGTTGCCACTGATGACTTATGGAACTGAGACGTGGTCCTTCATTGCTGGCCGAATGAGGAAGCTCAAGGTCGCTAAGCGAGCTATGGCGAGGGCTGTGCTCTGAGTTTCTCTGCGTGATAAACTTAGAGATGAGGATATTCGCAGTAGAATCAGAGTGCCCGACATAGCCCAACGGATAAGTAAGCTGAAGTGGCAATGGGCTGGCCATATAACTCGTAGAACCGACAACCGATGGGTAAAAAAGTTTCTCGAGTGACGAACGAAGTGTATGGCGTCCCCCCATTAGATGGAGTGACGACCTGGTAAGACATGCAGGAAGTCGATGCTGGCTGGCCGTGCTTTGTGGCATTCCTTGGGGGAGGCCTATGTTCAGCGGTAGACTTATGAAGGGCTGTAAAACGTGTTGCGTTGGTACTGACGGTCTCCTTCATCTGTATCTGGTTGATCTTGATGCGGAAGAGCTTGTTGGTGAAGTCGGCGGCGAAGGCGAAGTGGTCGGCGTCGTGCACCTCGCGGCCACGCGGCGCCTTGCTGAGCACGCGCGCCTTGCCGCACGCCAGCGACTGCAGCGTGCGCCGCAGCTCGCCCTCCTGCGCCCGAACACACACCCGATACATACCATTTATCGTTTAAATTAATGCTTGTTCTTGACGTTTAAAATCGTCTCGTATCGCCGGGCAACGAACTGCAAACCGGTTCTGCAATGGAGCGCCATTACTATCGTGGTCACAGCGCAGCTCCACTACGCCTCTTGTTCAGAACCACCCAGTCCACACGCATTCCGACTATAAGTAGCGGCACGAAAGTCTAGCGATTACCGTTATTGCGCATAAGTCGCGCTAATTAGCTCGTGCGAGTCGTTCGCACGCGCTGATTGGCTCTACAGTCCTATTCGCGCAATTCAATTCGTGCGCGTCCCCTCCACGTTTCGTTGAGCGCTAGACTCACGTGCCGCGACTTGTACGTCATAGAATTACAGAGTTATTTTTCAAAGAGTAGCCAAATTTTAGACTTATGTTCTAATATATAAATAATAATATACCATTATTGCAGTTATTGAAAGTACGAGTGAATAAGGCTTCTACTTTCATTTGAAATTATCCCAAATTGAATGTGATTTATGGGCAACAACTATGCACTCCTTTGTGTGCGATTCAATTCACTACGTTATTGCCGACCGAGCGACCTTTATGTATATGTGCGTGAATAATAAAATAGTAGGCATTAGATATTTATGAATGACAATCATTTAAAATAATGCGTTACCATGCATTTTAAATTTAAAAGATAAAAAGGACAGAATATTTGAATTTTTTTTTAATTAATTTTTCTTCACCGTTTGCCTATATTACTTATTCTGAAGCTTCTCAAGAAATTTGACCGGTTATTGCAAAATATATCAGAACCTAATTATATTATTATAGAAAATGAGCAGCAGGCAGTCTGCTTGCCAAGCCCATATTCAGCAGTGGGTTTTAATAGGCTGTAATAGGAACGGTATTATTACAAATATTAATTGTGACGCAGTATATTTAAGAACAAAAATTCATAATACTTTTTTATTTTAATTAGCTTCATAAAATATTCTTGCTACAAGTCACGTACTGCTGGGTTCTAGTTTTAAAGGTAAGGAGCGTCACTGTGATTAGGATCTGTGTTTGTGTGCATTTATTTCATAGTCATCAGGCGTGACAATACTACTGTAACCTTCCTTGTTAGAAGTTGATGGCAGATTGTATATCTGGCTGGCTGGACCGCAGCAGTAGGCACTTAATATCAGATTAATTTTAACATTATTTTTCAAGAAAAAAAATTAAAGATCAGACTAGTTAAACAACTCTTTTGGAAGTCTGCTACACTAATTTTATTACAATGAAGATAATAAATTATGTATTTACCTCTATATTCGTCGCCGCTTTGATTTCTTCAAAAGATAGATTATCGCCATCATTGAAAAGAAGTAAAACGAGAGCTTGGAATAGTGATACCTGTAATTCTTTATTACCCTGAAACAATTAAAAGAAACATCTATTTTACAATAATAGGCTAATGTCGTGTTTTATGAATTAAGCACATATTACAATAGATATAATTTTTAATCAATATACATATAATTTAAAATTTTGTACAACTGACTTCAATAAAAATTATTAAGAATAACTCAAAAACTATTGGTCAGACCTTGATCAAATTTATATGGGACCACAAGTTTCACCACATGACCACCAGCTTTCAAATTAAAAAAGAATCATCGAAATCGATTCACCCAGTAAAAAGTTATGAGGTAACACACATAAAAAAAACATATAGTCGAATTGCCCATATTATATAGAAAATACATCCAATACAAGAATTGGTAGTTCAAAGTATAGGATTTACAAAATCTTATAAACATTAAGCAAAGCCGCAGTAATGTACCTGTGCAAAATGAGCTCTGAGGACACAGTGTCCCAGTGTTGCTTGCCACTGCAGCTTACGGCCTGAGTGTTTCGCCAAGTAGAACTTTGCGAAATGGTCCTGGTGGCGAGTCAGTTCTGCTGGAAGCCGGACCTCAGCCACCGGGTATGTTGGCCAGAAGCCCATGGTAAGGATATACACTGATAATTCTAGACTTCCACCTTCTTGGCTTGCTGCTAAGTGCTGAAATTTTTTAAAGAGGGCTCATAAATTTGAATTAAAATTAAAATATTATATATAAATTGTAACAATTTGTGTGTTTAAAAGATTTTTCCTCGCCGCAAAGCCGAAAAAGTGACGCATTTTATTTTGAAACCGAATAGCAAAGTGGTGAGAGGGAGATATCTTAGTGGCAGCACTCTTGGTCCAGCACAAGACACAAGCCTGAAATTTCATATGACATAAGTAACTTAGGATTGATACCCACAGGCACTAAATGCTTTGTGGGGAAATAGATAAAAGAACTATCCGTGGAAGCAAAGATAAAAGAATAAAATAAATAAAAATATTTCTATTTATGTGAAATGAGCCAACATGCAATCGGGTAACAAGGAGAATTGTTTTCTATTTACAAATCGTTTTAGTCTAGCATACATATGTAGACTGTTACTTTATTGCTTGCATTGGCACAAGTTTCTGTCAACATAAAGGGCCTCATTGATTAAACAGCTACATTTCTCCGTTGCGACATTGACAGCAGAATCACAGAGAAAACGCAGTATAATGTGGAATTATGCATGTTTATATACTTCTTATTTAATTGGTTAATAATTAACCTTAAAGGTTCATTGTTATCATAATATTTTATTGATTTATGATTTATAATTAGTATAATTCTATGGTAAGTATATAAGAAATCACTATTGTTGTAAATCTACTAGAAATAATCACATTTAAATAAATATGATTTCAAAAATATTTGCTGCATTACTAATTGGTTAATCAAATGCAAGTTTTGTGTGTTTGTGGTTGAAATCAATTATTTATAGGAAACAATACTTCTATGATTATTATCATTTATTGCAGCTACCATACTGTACCACTACTGTAGGTACAATACATTGTGTGAAAAACAAAATAACAACTTACCTGTTTATAAGTAATATTTATATCTTTAGAAAGCTCCATATCTTTAAACATTCCTTCTAATTTACATGTGAATCCACCTCCGCACTCTTGCTTCAGTTTACTGAGCATGGACTTCTCGGCATCTACCGAAGCAGACTTTCCTACTAGCAGTCTCTTGGCCAGATCCTTTTTGTAGAATGCTTCAAACACATCTTTACCATGGATGAAACGGAACAGAACCATAATTTTGTCCAGCAGCCTCTCAAGCTCCTCTTCTGTCGCTTCTTTGTTGCCAGCCCGTAGTTTAAGGTCCACAAATTTGGCTGAACAAAGTTGGTTTTAGTATCAAATCACACATAGTAAGAAATATTTTCAAAAATAGCATCAAAAATGTCTAGGAACAGGTATTTTTATATGTGACTCCACTGCTGGACATAGGCCTCTTCCGTTGCAGAAGGGATTTGCCTTAATCATTACATTTTGAGGGATTGACAATTGCAGTACCAAATGTTTCGCACATCTGATGATTTCTCTCGTCCCCAATCTGGGTATTTTGCGTCTGGTATAAACGAGATGGTTATACTGAAATCTATCGGAAGTCACAAGATCTTCCATATCATATCCTATAGTCGCCAATAGCGATAATCGCGGGACAAATTATATAGGGATCTCGTGGATGGTTTTTTTGCCATAGTTGCCGCGCATATCCTGACTTGTTTACGCTGTCTCCTCTTGCGACAACCACTGAACCATTTGCGATAGTGGATATTCTTAAATCGCCACTACACGATCATGATCTATGGAAATATCTAGTCATCCATTTGATTTTATTTTCGATCTTTAGGTTGCTTAGTAGATAGTTAATCACTTGATTCCCACATTGAGTCATACCTCTTAATTGTAAGAAAATATATCGTAATTTTTAAAATATTATGCATTTTAAGCTTAAGCTATGATTTGTATAAATTATCCTTTACATACATCATAGCTTAAGTTTTCTATAACTTAATAAGTGATAAAGAGCCGAAAGTCATGGACATCTGTGATTGTCTTCAGAGAAAGGTTACACTGTACCCCTGCACTGTAACCCCTGAGGTGTAAAGCCGCGTATCGATCATGCGCTCCAAGAGATCGAACATTTGCGCGCCAGTTGGGATGGTTGTTTTCATCATTCGTGTGTTTGTTGCATTCCAAGCTATGGATAACCAGAGTTGCCGTAAATTGATAAAATCATTTATGGTTCAAAAGAACTGCTGTGGAATATCGAAAATAGTTTTTCAACCGACTTCAAAAAAGGAGGAGGTTCTTAATTCGTCGGAATCTTTTTTTTAATTTATGTTCATCGATTACTCGAAGACGCCTGAACTGATATGGAAAATTATTTTTTTGTTTCAAAGGGTATACTTCCCAGTTTCCATTTAAATTTTATCGAAATCGGTCGAGTGGTTTTTTAAAAAAATCAACAATAAATTATTTATATTGAAGTTGGTTGTAAAAAAAAAATTTTACCACTTGTATCATAATAAAGCGCTCAGAGAAGATGCACGCAGAGAACTATGAAAGCGGCAGATGCTCGTACACGACCGACATCCATGCTGAACGGTCAAACACCGGAATAGCTGCCGCTTAGTTGATACACTTGGAACATTTGGAACGCGTTCTGGGGAACCCACTGGTCGGCGCGGTAATTCATCGCGCACCTGGCGCATAATCGATACGCGACTTAAGATATCATGCCTCACAGCTAGTTGTTATACTAACATTTTATCCTTTAAACTGAAACATAACCGTGACTGTGATGCTTGGAGGCATAATATATCGCCAAGAGTTATCTGCCCAAGCAAACACCCAGGCTGAACAATAGTTGCACCACCTAGTACAAACCAAACAGTTTACCAATTAATTCAGCAGGTTTGTTCTGCCGCTGGTTGATAAAGTACTCAAAGGCCTCTCGCATTGAGTACACGAACTTTGGATTTTTTTGGAAGCAAGTGCTCACAACATGATCCAACTGTTCCTTAAATTCGAGAAGCTCAGCAACCATTGTTTTGTCGCGTTCCGGCTCTATAACTATCGTCCGTCCTTTTTTCTGCAAATTACACATTTAGAAAGAATTATGTCGGATATAGAAAGGAACAAATGAAATAAAATATAATTTGTACCAAGTTTTCCCCCAAATGTAAAACAAAAAAAACTGCAGATCTTCAAGTTAATTTAGGTATGTTCAAAAATCGAAAAACACACAACTCATTTTTTTAAATATTATCTCAGAAACTATGAGTTATGTTGGAAATGGTTTTGGATAAAAATTTAAGATCATCATTAAAATTAATCAAAATTTTAGAAATTTACGTGTAAAACGTCTTTACCTTACTCACTAAAATCACTTTTGTTGTTTATTAGTGTTGAAGTAAAAAAATAAAATGCGTTCTTGCACTAAAACTTTAAGATAGTGTGATATTTTATGTCAAATTGCAAATTAAAAAGTTTCTGTCGAAGCTTTTTTAATCGAGTTTGTGAGAAAATAAAAATTTCATATATTATAAAATATACAATAAAACATCCTGCATGTATTTGGAATAAAATCTATAGCCCAGATCACTCCTGGCAGTGCTCTATCTGTTCCTTATACGTACGGTGTACAGCAGTGAATTTGTAATGGGTTGAAATGATGATGATGTGATGTATAATATAAAATATAATATAAAAGATATTGTTATTCATTGTTCACCATTTTCATCTTTCCTGCATTTTCAATAATCGGACTTATAACAGTATGAAATGGGCTGACAAATTTTACTTACTGTCTAAAAGTCAGAAATCATGAAATTGGCCTCTCTCAAGTAGATAAGCACCTTTTATTACAACTAAAATTCACATAGCATATATTTGTGTCTATGTAATTTTTACATTGTTATGAAATTTACCTTTATATAAGCATTGAAATGATTGCACAGTTCATTAAGGCCATCTTTGACTTTACTAAATAGGTTGTACAACGTGGTGAGATCGGCCAACCGTGGTCCATCCATCAATGCTTCCAGACCTTTGGTCAAAATACCAGTCAAATGTTCACTAAGCAACTGCCGCTCGATTGTGTGGATCAGTTGCCATCTGGAAAAAAATGATGACATTTCAGATTATTTATGAGGAAATGTGAAAAATTGTTATTGTGTTTAGTGGTGCCAACATTCTGAATCATTTTAACCCTTTCCCTGTCCCGTAACCCACATATGGGTCATTGTTATTATCTTACTATTGTGTTTGCAAATCAGTGAAAGTGTTAAGTTCTATATTATTATGAAATAACCATGATCAAAGTAGTAATGGAAAAATATCAACTCTTTTCTAAACTATTGAGAAGCTAGTACGACTGAACAAATCCCAGATTCAGATAGCAACATATGCTATTACTGAATTTTTATTTTAATAAACATCTGTTTACCATAGTTGTTAGACACAATCCTCTGTGAAGGAGGTGCGAGCACGTGCAAGTGCGAATTCCGGACAAACGTTTCCGGAAAAAGTCGCCAAATACAGGGCTAAACATCTCGGCGGGCCGAAATCACTCTCTGATGTCGTCAGTAACATCAAAGGATTGCAGAACTTCTTCAAGAAGTATCATGAATTGAATAGTTTATAATATTCCTGTCCATACACAAAATACGCGCTTAAGACGTGGAGTTACAGAAAATAGCCCACAGTAAACTTTAACTATGGAACTACTAAGATGTTTATGTGAAGTCGAAAATTGACTTAAAATAAATACCAGAAGACAAGAAGCGAAATTTAGAAATTAATTTATATGACCAACTTGATATATTCACAGTTTGTGAATTGTTATTCACATTCTTGTTTTGCTTAACATCTTCATATATCTTCACTAAAAAAATAGTTTTAACCATTCATCTCTTACTAATTTTATTATTGGTTCAAATTTACATTTATGATTATTGTTTTTTAAAGTCTACAGGTGAACTAAGTCCATCAGGCGCATATTTCTTAAAAAAAAAATCATTACTTTCTACCACCAGTCCGATTACAAGTTTTACCCTGTTATGTGAGGTTCACAATTCATGAAAAATATTGGTGTATTTTTCCTTAGAATGTACTAGATAACATATTTTTCTTTCGTTCATAGTTTCCTTACTTGGTTGATGGATCAAGATAATGCAGTAATCTCTCATTCTCTTCGCGAAGTCTCTTCTCTACGTGGGCGAGGTACTGCGCCACTGACAATTCTCGCATCAGTCGCTGTCCCTCAGCTGCATATAACCGCTCAGTTGCTTGTAGGAATCTGTTAATATTTACATACAGATTGTTAATAATTTCAAACAAATTTTTCTTTTAAATCAGTATGGATAAAATAGGACTCATTTGTCACAATTTTTTTCAGTGTTTCATGTTTATGATTTGGTATACCTGAACTTAGCAGATAACTGACGTGATGTCTAAGATTCGAATTTTAAAATTAAGAAGTAGTTCATTTAAAGGTTAGATATTATAAAGTATATTATTATGTTTCCTCCAGTATATAAGTTGAATACAAATTACAAACTAACTTGTGTTCAAAGGCATCTTGATATATCTGTAGATCTGATAACATGCGTAACAGACTTTTGAGCAGTGATATGTCGACGGCGTCACCGCCGCGCTCCCGCTCGATTAATAATAGCAGCCCATCGACAGTGCGGGTTTGCACCAACGTATTCATTGCTATATGGTGCCGGAACAAGTCTAGACCCATGTCCCTGTAATATAATTTTCATTAAATACTACTGTTGCACTGTTACAGCCTATTAAAGTCCACTTCTGAACATGGGCCTTCCTCATAGTGTGTCTTATAGAGGGGATATTTGCCATAGTTGCCACGCTTGAAAACTGTAGTTTATTTTTATTTTTAGTTGTTATTAGGAAGCCGCTGCTGCTCATCTCCTGATTTGTTTCCCTCTGTCGCCTCTTGCGACACCCACGGGAAGATATAGGATACTGGATATTCATAAACCGCTACTACACAGTGATTTCATTCATTATTATTTAACTTTAAATTACTTAACATTTCTTTTGCATTTAATATTCTGTAATAATCTCGTTTAAGCCACACGTAAAATCCCCAGGAATAACAACAAGCAGCAGCATCTATGATGCGAACATCTGGTATTGCAATTGACAATTGGCCTGCCAAGCTTGACAATTAAAGCAAATGCTTCCTATGGGAGAGGCCCATGCCCAGAGCTTTTATAGGCTGATAAAGTGGAAGATGATTTCTCTATAAGTAATTTTGTTATTTTTTTTTTATAGAATAAGGATGTCCAACGAGCATGCAGTCCTCCTGATGGTAAGTGGACACTGTGGTCCATAGATATCTACCATTATCACCTCAATTAAGAATCAAAATGCAGATGGGTTGTCACCTCTGTGGACTGAGATAGAATGTCTCGTTTTCAGCAAAAGGGGTCTCTGGTTCTCTACATTCACTATACGTAACACAGCAGCATTAAGCTGCTATTTTACGCTGGTATTCTGTGAGAACATTGTCCTACCCCTGTCGAGCCAACCCATTAATTCAATCATAATATAGCTGCAGCGTAGTTCATATTTACCATGTGTCAATAAACATTAAAGTAGTTAGAATTATTGGTTTTTTATGCACAAAAATCAAAGTTGAATCACACCTACACCTTAGATTACTTTAACATACAGTTAGCTTAAGTGCTTAGTACAGAGCTGCTGGTATGGAGATCTTACACAATGACACTAGCTGATTTTTTCACATGATGATTAGTGATTGATAGTAGTAGCTGTCATATCATCAATAAGCAAATACCTTTTTTGGCAGTGGTGGAATTCCTTAGTTTGGGCCAACATACTACACACAGATACGAGAGTGTGAGCGGCAAGCGGCGAGGAGAAACGGGAGGGAATGCGCATTTCGCTACTACCCTACATTTCGATTACCTGTATCAGGCTACCACTCGGAAACCTTTTCCCCCCATCGGTTGTAGGTTCGTCGAGCTATATGGCTAGCCTATTGCCACTTCAGCTTACTGGGCTATGTTGCTCACTCTGGTTCTACAGTAGATATCCTTACTTCTAAACCTATCATGCAGATAAACTCCGAGCATAACCCTCTCCATAGCTCACTGAGAAGCCTTGCTTTCTCATACGTATAAATCTTAGCAAAATGACTCAATAATAAATTTATTTCGACAAAAATGTTGTTTAAGATGAGAACATAAAAGTTCATTTTATTGAAATATAAGTCTATGATTTAAATAATACATAAAACATGATAATTTTTGAATCTTCATTAATATTAATGGTTCCAAAGGAAAATTTTATTGTAGGTATAATAAAATTCAGTTCTGTTTTCCTATCCTATGGGAAAGACTAATAAAACAGAAAATTTTATGTAACTTGGTCTTCGTTTTTGCAATATTCTACTGTTATTTATTATTTTGAATTGTTATCAGGAAGATGCGGCTGCTCATCTTCTTGTTCATTTCCACTCCATCACTGGCACAACACTACCCTCTTTATTTTGTGACACTGACTAAAAAAAACCATGTAATGGCATAAGCACATGGGTGTTGTAAAAGTCGACAGAGGGAAACTAAAACAAAAGATGGGCAGCAACATCTTCCTGATAACAACTTAAAATAATAAAAAATAGCGATTGCTAACTTGCCTGACAAGAGTGGCAACTGTGGCAAAATGCTCTAATGAGGCAATCTATTGGAGAGGCTGGCCACCTATGTTTAGCAGTGGACTTTTATAGGCTATAATGACTGAGTAAAATGAACAGAAGGGAACTAGGGTATCCCCTTGCGGCCCACGCGTGTGACGGGACGCGCAGATCTTTTTTGTAGCGACACGTGCGCCAAATGACTTTTATAATTTGGCAACACCACATACATTATTTACTTTTCTAATGCGTGCAAAAGGAAATTTTTTCCTTTCTCACTTTCATTTTGTTAGTATGTTTTATTATCCGAGACCACATTAGCTGATTTATAGTTTGCGATTTATAGTATGAAGTTATTAATTTACAAAGTATTGATAGCCCTATAAATGTTCACGAATTGTGTATGAAAGTTATGTTGAATATAAGAAAATGTAATACTGACTATGCATTTTCATTTAATGTTGTATCATGAGGAAACTGGCATATCTGAGAAATTAAAAAATAGTGTATTCAGACATTTCCTTGCCAAAAATTCCTCTAAGAAATGGGAGGCCTGTGCAGTGGGACGTATATAGGCTGTAACTTTATTTAACCTTATAACGCCGAGCTGCCTTTTAAAAGGTATGCTACTCGATAATGGTACGGGCCGAAGATGTTATCCAATTTCATGAAATAAATGCCCAAGTAGCTTTTAAAAGGCATATAATTTGAATGCACCATAAAATTTTAACTTACGCGCCAAATCTAATAAATTATTCGTAACCGGCTACTGGAAAGTATTTTTTGTCCGTGGTGAATCAGTAGTGCCAATAGAAAAATAAAATAACTGTCGTTTTCGGCAAATTCTCAGTCAAGATGGCCAGACGTAGGCGACTCGGTAAGTAAATCCATGATTTTAGATGTGATCTTAGGTTTTTTGTTTATAGTATCTTACTCTATTTGCATGTAAAATAACCTCGCACGATTCGATCACCTCTTAGAAGGTATACGGGTATTTACATATTCTTAGATATTTAAAGGTATGTGGGTTGGTACTACTAATCAATTGGATTTATTTTTGCAAATTATGATTTTGGCTGGTTTCTTTTTCACAATGAAATTTAGTTACAGATATTGTTAGAATTACCGGTACTTTTACTTATACCTATCCTTTTCAGTCAATTTAATGCGAGATGACCAAATCGAAGAAGTTTTAGAAGTTTTAAATCAATCAGATCTAGAAGAGTATGAGCCATTTGGAGAGAATGATGATTTCAACATAAACCAAAACCAAGAAAGTTCCTCCAGTTCTGAAGAATCTGAAAATGAAATACCATTTATCTACCAGTAGTTCAAAAGGATAGAGGTAGGTGCCGTAAACCAACACGATTGCGACGACAGGTCCAAAATGCTCGTAGATCTCGTGCAAGTCGCAGTTGGGTTCGGGAGCGATCAGTCATGTGTCCAGCTAATGCATTAAATGCAACCGAAAATGTTGGAATTTCTAAAGATTCCGAATGGTAAAATTGCGATTTTGATCCAGAAACTGTTCCACTAATACAACCAACAGTAAACGATTTAATTCTTTCAGTATATTCAATGTTTCATTTCAAACCCTATTCCTCATTAAATCCCTACCTACTTGTAATCACAAAATTCTTTAATGATTCTATATAAATATGTCTATTTTCTAGCTTATTGATTTTAAAAGGCATATGGGCTGCTATAGTGTTTTTAGGTCATAATTCAGAAACTTGTAAATGTATGCTTCTGTTCTTCGTTGGACACGGGATGCTTCTGATTGAACTCATAAAACACGTGATAAATGAGCCTTTTAAAACAAAGAGTACACAAAACAATGAACATTTTGTTCAAAAATTGATATTTTCTCCTCATGTTGTTAGTGTTAGATATTTTTTGGTCATTAAAATTTTGGAAGATATGTTTATTTCCAAATATCTTTGTTCATTGTTTTTGTAATATAAAATATGCCTCGTAGCGGCGACCATTACTCAATAAGTCTTAAAATACGAATTTTGCAAAAATCGGTTATTGTATATATTGAAGCCCATACGCCTTAATAAAGGATATCGAATTTGGGCTTATTTAGTGTCATAAAACCCCCTACTGTTATACATTTACATGCAGAAAAAATCCCACGTTCATACGGAGATCTTATGACACTTTTTTTAATATCATGACCTCTGGGTCCGCAACATGTGAACCTTTTAAAACACATCTGGGCTGCAAGTTAATGTTTTGTAAAAACAGCATAGGCATTACGAGGTTAATGTTAGACATAGAGAAATATTTTTATATACATTAGTATAATAAGCAACAGTGTATACAGAAAAATATAACTCACCATATAGAGTGTATACTAGGATTTTGCAATACATAAGTTCTGTCAAGATAGAGGAATATACTGCGAATCATAATCATCTGGCGGCAGTGGGCGCGCCAGCAGTCATCCATCCTCTTTAAAAATACCTGACGATCCATGCTTTCAGAAAGGAACTGTTCAATATTGGCCTTCACATGTGCTTCAACTAAATTTGTAAGGTTGACATATAATTGTGATGCCATCTGTAATATAAACATAAACACAGTTAATTTTATTTAAAAACATCTTTTATTAATTAAATCATAATTTATGCTTTTTAGCATACTTTACAGTTTTAAGCATAGTAAACATATAAAAGTAAGATAAATGCCTTAAAACTGTTTATTTTTTTTACAATGGTTACTATAAATGAATCACCATCATCATCATTATTATTTCATCTTTTAGCCTGCCTTTCAAAGTTCTTCCACCATTGGGCAACCAGATGCTTGTCAAGCCTCCAACCCTTTGTTGTTGACATACCATACATTTGAACAAAACAGTTGGCTACATTGGTTGTCATACATACAGCAAAGGAGTGAAATAATTTGTCAACATCTGTCTTTTGGACAAGGCCACAAACATACAGTTGAAATCTATATTGCCTTCTGTGCTGCTATTGTATACTTCAAAAAGGAGACCGTACTTAATTTGAGTGTACATTCTTTTTTTTATTTTTGTGTAGTATAGTGTATATAGTTTAGTTGTAGTATAGTATAGTTTACTTATAACTTTTTCTGGGTGAACCAATTTCAATGATTCTTTTTTTATTTAAAAGCTGGTGTTTCTCATGTGGTCCCATATAAATTTGATCAAGGTCTGACCAATAGTTTTTGAGTTATTCTTAATAGTTTTTATTGAAGTCAGTTGTACAAAATTTTAAGTTATTATTTATTTACTTAATGCACATGCTAATTTGTTTACTTTATCATATTTTCATTCAGTCTAGGTTTTATTCAGCCTCTTTTATGATTTTTCATTTGAGACTTCAAATTATATTAAATTAATGTAGCTAGTTTTATTTAAGTTTAATTCCAATTTATTATAATTCAACCATTTAATCACACATGATATTGTTGTATTATTAACAGCCTCTGATTGATGCTTATTATTAACACTACTGATAACTATGACTGAAATATTGTTAGTATAAATAAGAAAGGTAGTGGTCCAAGGACCCTGCCCTGCAAAACACCAAATTTATTTTGTCAACTTTGTGACATATTTTGTAATCATCATCAGCCTGCGGCAGTCCACTGCTGGACATAGGCCTCTGCCAAGTCATGCCACTTAGCCTGATCTTCAGCTTCACACATCCAGTGACCTTGCAGATTGTCACTACATCTGGTCAGGGGGCGACCCACTAGTGTGTCTCCACTCCGTAACACGTATAAACTACTGGTTGCCACTTCTACACAGACATGACCAGCCAATTGCCACTTCTGATTACAAACATGGAAGGCTATGTTAGTAATCTTGGTTCTCCAGTGGATTTCTTCATTTTGAATTTTATCTACCAGAGAAACTCCGAGCATAACTCTTTCCATTGTTTGTGGAGTAGCCATATCGTCAGCGTTCAGCATGTCCTGAAGTTCCAGCAGCAATTCTATCATGACGACTATATCATCATTTTACGTTAATGCTGTGTCCTTTCCAGTCTAGTGTCTTAAAAACATCTTCCAGTGCATTTGTAAACAGTTTATGAGATATAACATCCCACTGTCTTATTTCACGATACAACTGGTTTGATTTCATTTGACTGCTCTGTATTTGGACGGACATCATACTGGTATTGAAAGGCATCTCAGCACTTCTTTATTACTGCCAGTCAATATGGCATTGCTGCAAAGAATCCTGAACAGCCCAAGTTTCGATGGAATCAAAGGCTTTCTCGTAGTCCACAAATGCAAGACATAGGAGCTGATTATACTCTGTTGTCTCCTGTATTTGCCACACAGTTTGAGTTCTGTTTGAAAACAACTGGTCCGCAAGGTAAGTTAATTAAATAGTTGTATAGAAATGTTTTTTACTGCATTATTTTATTGTCTTAGTTGCAATGCCATAGAATCCAACAGAATTCATATATTTTAAAAATATTTATTTTTTAATTTATATTTTATTAACTGACCTTCAATAAATACTATTACTAAATAGTTAAGGTATTTTTATAATCTCAGAAGAATCAAATTATTTTTTTCTTTTTCTACACAACAAACCTTATGACTACACATATTCTCAACTGCTTGATAAAGCTCTTCTAAGGAGTAAGCTATTGCTTTTGATGTTTGGATGGCGATAACGGCTTCTCTTAGTTTGCTCCATGTCGTCTCTTGATAATTTTCTGGAAGGTTCGGTTTACCTAGAAAAAAAAATACGCCTGGTTAATGATACAAATATCATTAAGGTTAGGACATGACTGCTAAAAGATTTTCGTAAACACACTTTTAAAGTTTTTTATAACTAGTTTCTTTGTTGTTGCCCCCGGCTTGTTCATGGCCGATGTCATCTTAATCGCACCATTAGAGTTAGGAGTTAACAAGGAGAAGTTCGATTTCTTCTCGTTGACATTCATTTCGTTCAATTTGGGTTTCTTGCTGCACTGTTCGTTATTGACTTGAGAACGTTTTCTACACTGATTACCACCCTCCTCGACCAAAACTTGAGTCTTAGGTAAACCCGACATAAGAAAGCATGTTATGTCCGCAGTCACAAAGGAAAAAAGGTTATTAACACTAATTAATTAAATGACACAAATAAAAATAATTGTAATCAGTCAATATTCACTATACGAACCACCATTACAACAATAAGTTTTCATGTGACGTTTATAGAGGGCGTTACAAACTACGCAACTGTCATTTTGTGTATTAAAAATTTAAAAACTAAGATTTGTAAATGGATCCAAGTATTTTAAGCTTCTTTTAAGAGGAATAACAGACATAATATTATAACCCTTTATATCAGGGTATGATACTAGCAATTATTTAAGCGTCAAACCGACATCCTCCCCAACGATCTTCTTCTTTAAAATTATGGCTACTCTTGATAGAATTCTGTCAGGGTCAAGTCAGTCACGGGAGAGACAAATAAATAATTATTATATTAAGAGTTTTCAATTTTACGAGTGTTTTCACATTCTACAACAAAATACATCAACTTTTAAATACCACCGCCTAAATTGATTAGGTAGTGATTTTACAGTTAATATTATTAGTACGAATCACACAAAATATTTACAAAAGGAGTATACACTAGGGACAGCAAATATTAGAAATTTACAGGACGCGGGACGCGATTGGGTAGAATATCATAGAAAGAGTGAGAAAGATTAGAAAACTCAGATATCAGATGATTGACAAATCCTTCGTCTAGCCCACATTCACAAATTGAGCTATCCGTAATCCTAAGTTTAGCCAACAGAAGCGTAGCATGGACTAATATAGACTTCTTTCGTTCCCAAGATCTACCCAATAGGTCTATCCTATCAAACATGCTTTGACACGACATAACTACTAATGATAGTGAATAATTTAAAATTAAAAATGTTGTGCAACCGACTTCAATATAAATTATTAAGAATAACTCAAAAACTATTGGTCAGACCTTGATCAAATTTATACGGGACCACGTGAGCAAGCACCAGCTTTCAAATAAAAAAAAAAATCATTGAAATAGTTTCACCCAGTAAGAAGTTACGAGGTAACATACATAAAAAAAGCAAAAAAAAAACATACAGTCGAATTGAGTACCGTCTCCTTTTTGAATACGGTAGAAAAGTACAAATGCGCGGTGGGGGAATATTGAAAAGCATATAGATTTGATAAAATGTTTTATTTTGTAACTTGCGTGATTGAGTTTTTTTTTACAAAAGTAATGTTCTTCGGCTTTTTCCTTTACTGAAGTCCTCTAATAAATATTTTTAATTACCTTTTGCAGCTAAAACTGCTTCCAATGCAAGTATTGCTAAAGCAAACTGTCGGTCCTGCTTCATAAAGTTTCTTAAGTATGTAGTTTTTGATATTTTTAACTTATCAAAAACTAGATACTTAAGAAACTTATGTCTTCCAATTAATTTATAATTATGTATTGAATCAACTGATTGGCGTTTCTAATGAAGTTTAGTATATATGGTACTAAAGGTTGTAATTTTCAAAGATTTTAAATGATTTATGTCGTACAAGAATTCAAAATTGTTGTAATATTCAGTGAATGCAGTGAAACTTGCGTTAATGTCTTATATTACGGCGTCAACCATTGTAATAAAAAAATAAATTCTGAATCTACTTTCAACGGAATCAATAGGCTCATCTACAGCTTCATAATTAAACATTTTGTTTTTTATGCGAACCCTTTTCTTTTTAAAAGTCGTTGGAATCTCACAACTGCTCTCTTCTTTGAATTCGTAGGCTTTAATGAATGTACTGCAAAACCCTACGAATTCCAGAGTTAGCATTTCAGTTATAATAGCTTGGCTATCGCAGAGAGTGTTTGCATCTTCAGATTGATTTTTCAGATTATTTATACAATAGATAATGTCATCAAACTGTTATAACAAAGTTTTCACTAAAGCAATTCGGCTTTCCCATTTGGTATCAGACAACAATTTTAAGGTTATCTTCAATTTATCCTTTACTAATTCCCATCTCTCGCTGGATTTGAAAAAAAAGACAAATGCGAACAGTCTTTCCATTCATAATACTGTTGCGCGCCACTATTAATGTCTTGTACATGGCAACACTAGTTACACTAGCGCCCTCTAGTGTCGAGTAAAAGAAAGTGTTGCGCGCCACTATTAATGTCTTGTACATGGTAACACTAATTACACTAGCGCCCTCTAGTGTTGAGTAGCAGAACTAGGAGAGTCGTGATCCTTCCAGAAATTTCGGGGCCGATATGTACTCAAACATTCTAGATGTCGCTACAGTAGAAGGTTCTGGAAACTATCTGAGGCCCTATATAAGGCCGGTATAGACCACGACCGGGGCAGTATTGAATTGGCGATACAAGAGAATACTTCGAAGCGAAATAACGGTGAACAGTGTTTTATTATTAGTGTGATTTTAAGCTGTAATTAATGTTGTGTAATTAAATAGTCAATTTTGGTAATTCACTCGGCAGTTTTTAATTGTCTCGAACCTCAAGCTCGTAACAATACCTTTTCAAATGATAGCCATTGAACCATGTTATTTCTGTGTTCTTTCTGATTTTCGTCGCGTTCAAGAATAGTATTTAGTTGTTTCCAATCATTACAGCCTAGAATCACCTATGTTTGTAAGACAGAGTAATAAGTTTGCAACTGCAACAAAATATTTTGCCACGTGACGTTGAATATACTAAACACCAACGATGCTGATTTTCGCCATTGCTCAATTTTCTCGAATAATAAAAATTCGAAGTGTCCTACGTTTTAAGTTTTGAATAATATTCATTGCTAAGATCTAAAATTTGTTGGGGACCACATTGGAGTAAATCATGACGGTATGCATCGTTTATCAGGAAGCTCCATTTTCCTGGACCATTTGTTTCAAGTTTACAAAATTCTGATTCTTTGTTCTCCCGAATGTTTGCTGTGGATGTGCTTTCGCCAAGGTCAAGGAAAGTTCCAGCTCCAACACAAAGTTCCATGTCACTTATAGTTTTGTCGGATGCACTCTGCATGACTTCTTCTGATTCTGACCTCGTTTGGTCATCATTCTTTGGAAAATATTTTTTTCTGATTCTGCAATGTCAAAGGTCGTAAGACTTTTGTTTTTTATTTTAACTTCTTCTGATTCTGACGACATCTTCGCTTCATTTATTTGAGACTCAGTAATCATATAGAAATCTGCAGTTTCAGAGATTGAAGAATCTGTTTTGATTTAAAAATTTCCGCGTACTAGCACCAAGAGCATCATTAGCTAAAGCCATCTCTACTTTTTTTTTTCGCTTCAATGCACTGGATTCTGACGGTGAGCATCTCTATTACTGCTCGGGTCGGACGTGATATCTGTAAAAATACAGTAATTTACCAATGCGAATTAAATATACATACATACATAAACAAAGACTCACGCCTGTCAACCAGAGGCCTAGGTAAAGACTACGGACTTCCATTTGGCACGATTCTGACACACCTCTCTCGCCTTCTCCACAACCATATACCTACGTATACATGCTCGTCGATTAAGGGTACTCTTAATTTTTCCCATTTTAAATATATCGCCAATTTCGTCGATAAGCTTTAGCCTAGGGCGTCCCTTCCCAACTTTGCCGTTCACTTCTGCAACATAAATTTGCTTTGTCATTCTTTCCTCATTCATTCTTTCTACATGAACAAACCACCGAAGCATTCCTTTCTTAATCCTGGTGACAACACGATCTTGCAAACCACACTCTTCTCTTATCCCACAATTTCTCACCCTGTCATTCAGATTCAGCCTTAACATACTCCTTGATGACCGCATTTCTACAGCATGTATTCTACTCTCGTGCTTCCTCTGCCATACACAACGTTCACTACTATACATTAAAGTAGGGACTAACACAGCACTACGAGGCATACCCAGACGAGGTGGCGAATTGTCTTTGCGAATGTTAACCAACGTCTGTTGATCACTCTAGGAGATTTTAAAGCCCACCCAAGGGCTTGGGGCAACTCCAGGACGATCCGAAGGGAGGTACATACCATCATTCTCTTGACAGATACTGTCAAGACAGTGATGGTATGGGGGCTGGGCTGGACCTCCAATTAATGAATCAGGGGTCCGTAAGTACATGTGGTGTGATGTGTGGCGGTGGCAGAGGGACTTCATCGTGGATCTTAGGCGGGCAACACCTCCTGCAATGTAAATGCTGTCGGGCTGGCAAGTGGCGGAGGAGGCGGTCACATTGTCTAACCACCGCCACATCGTATTCGATGTCGCACTTCGCACTTCGTGGGTGTTTCAAGCGGGTTGACCGAGACAAGCTCAAAGCCGCCGTCATCGTCGCCTCCTGGCCAGAACACGCCGAAGAGGTTCAGTCCGATCCTGAAGTGGAAGCGAACTGGTTTCGGGGTACGATGGCGTAAATTTGCGACCTGTCGATGCCCAGTCCAGTCGCCGCAAGCATTGTATGGTGATCAGCAGAAATCGCACGGCTCCTTGCGCCCTGCATGCGGTATCTGCGCCAGTATACTAGAGCCCAAAGAAGAAGAAGACGAATTCCACCTGAGGAGATAGCCAGACACTACGTGGCACACGAGCGGCTAAAAAGGCGCTACAAACGCCATTAACAACGCCAGGTCTCGGTCCTGAAAAGAGCTTCTGAAGGGACTCAAGGTGCTGGTGCTGGGTAAGCTCCGGCCCTTTAACGACTCTAGACCCGGATCTTCTGGGAAGGGTGATCAGCACGCTCTTCCCAGAGGACCGGTCAAGTCCCTTAGGTCACCTGCCATCTTCATGGGAGTAGCAAGATGAGATGGGGGTGACCGTCAAGGAGCTGGACCAGCCGTTAGCCGCTTAAAGGCCCGGAACACAACACTGGGGCCCGACAGAATCCCGGGCCGGGCCCCAGTGCTGAGTCTGGCTGCCCTCGGGGACAGGCTCAGACAGCTGTTTACCAGCTGTCTGCGGTGTGCCACTTTCCCCACTGCCTGGAAAGAGGCAAGACTGCTCCTCTTGAAGAAGGAGGATTCTGATTCCCCCTCTTTGTACCGTCTCATAT